TCGCGTACCACCTGCCAGGTGCCAATGTACCACAGGTGGTACCCGTACCACTGGTTGAAAAGCCCTGCCATATACAACATATTCCAACAAAATGAATATCCACGCAACTTTATCAAAAAGTCCCTGAGCACTCAACCATTACAGCACAACCACACAAACCCTAAAAGGAATTACACTGCCATACATCAAGAATATATCAGAGACTACCAAGATTACTACAGCCACATGGAAACGGCATTGTACATAAGCCAACTAAAGCCCTTCAAAACATCCTAAGCAGACCAAAAGACCCAACAACCCCAGAAGAAAAAACAGGAGTCATCTGCAACACACAGTGTAACGGCTGCAACAACCCCTGTGTGGGACAAACAGGCAGAAAACTGGCAGAACGCATCCACAAACACCAACGAGCAGTCAGAAGACATGATGAAAATTCCTACATTTCACAACATACAGACAGATTTAACCATAGTTTCAGTTGGGAAAATGTGACCATCCTAGACCAAGCCAAGTCCAAAAACACTAATTTCTAGAAGCGTGACACAAATCAGCCATCAATAGACATATAGACATTAACAACATCTATAGACTCTGCAAATGAGACTATCATCCAGCTCAAAAAGGAACAAAAAGACCCAAGCATCTCTCCCCCAGTAATCAGCATCCAGATCAGCATAGTTTAATTCCATGTGTTGTGAAATTAACTCCAAGGTTAACATCAGATCAACAATCAAGCAAACAATAGCCCAGTCAAAAAACTGCCAAAGAGCCAACAGTAAACAGACCAACCAAAGAATCTCTAAGACCACGCCCACCAGCACTGACAGGCAAGCCGCTAGAATATAAACTGACAGCAAACCCCATTTATTAGAACTGATGCTGTTACCTAGTCTGGGTAATGAAACGTCTGTAAGAAAATAAGCAAGCTCAGAGAGCACCAAGGACCCCTCATTCCTCACATTTAAAACCTCCCATAATAGTTAAGAGATTTCACTCATTCTCTAAACCTTTCAGCATAAATAATCAAATCCATCATGCTTCCTTATTCATTTTCATTCTTTTAAATTATGCTTAAATCATGTATTTCAAACAAGATCTTTTCCTAACTAGATATTCACTAACCGATCTCATTTACACTCAGACCTCTGAATCTTATTATTATTTCTATAATATCTAATCTTATATTATTTCTATAATATCTTATCTTGTTCCTACCCATCCATTTACGTGATCCAGAGAATTTTTCCCTTGGATTACACTTGTTCAGATATTGAACAATTTTCCTTAAATTGATATTTGATTTTTCCACTGGAACATAAGATGCAACTACAGGATCATTAACCTACAAATTATTAGTTTTGTATATAGTCACAACAACCTATATTACAACAATTCGAACTTTCTGATTTGCATTGTGGGCCTTCTATTCATATCTAAAATTCCAGCTATATTTCTCTCAATAAATTTATCAATTCCTCTCCATTGGATCATATCACTTTTATTCATATATATATTATATTGCTCCCTTTTAAATTTCAGAGACGAGCAATATACTGGTATATATTAATTTATGGTCATTACAATATATTTCTCCTACATTAAAAGTTACAATCTGTGTTCTAATCAAAACCAAATTGGGCCACAGATACTGATCTCCACTACTCATCATGGTTTTAGTTAACTAAAGATCGTATAATGCTACTGGTATCAAAAAAATATACAGTAGGGTACACAAACTTGTAACTAAATAAATATGAAATGGTCACATGCCAAAAATATGCTGATTTGTCCACCCCGTTGATTCTTTTTAGGATTGCATGAAGAGTCACGTGAAATTCAGGTAGTCCTCGACTTACAGCAGTTCATTTAGTGATAGCTCAAAGTTACAACGGCACTGAAAAAAACTGACTTATGACTGTTTTTCACACTTACGACATTGCAGCATCCCCATGGCAACTGGCTCATATTTATGACGGTTGCAGTGTCCCGGGATCATGCGATCACCTTTTGTAACCTTCAGACAAGCAAAGTCAATGGGGAAGCCAGATTCACTTAACAACTGCGGCAAGAAGGATCGCAAAGTGGGACAAAACTCACTTAACAAATGTCTCAGTTAGCTACAGATATTTTGAGCTCAGTTGTGGTGGTAAGTTGAGGACTACCTGTATTTAGAAAAGAGCCATGCATAGGCTACAGAGATTTTCCCTAAAAGCCCCACTTCTTCACACACCCAATTTGTCTGAGATCTGCTAAAAAGAACCATACCATTAGTGTCGTGGTTCCAACAGATGAAACTCTTCAAAGAACTTCGAGGCATTGTTTACCTTAAAGAATCTTTATTTGAGAAGCATAGCATCGGCACTAACACAATCGAAGCCAAAAACTGGATTCCCCTCCCCTGAGCACATTATTATTATTATTATTATTATTATTATTATTATTATTATTATTATTATTATTATTATTATTATTATTATTATTATTATTATTAATTATTATTATTATTATTATTATTATTAATTTAATTTATATCCCGCCCTTCTCCTTACGGACTCAGGGCGGCTAACAACCAAATAAAACACTAATCCCCAAAAACTACAATTTAAAAACATAAGTAAAAACAAATATTAGTAATTTGGTCAAGTTAATTTAAAAATTACTTTAAAACCCCATTAAAATTTTCCCCTAGG